AATAAATAGAGCTTATTTTAGGAAGAGGGAAGTGGGAACCAGCCCAAGCACCAGTGAGCCACCGCAAGCACAGTGCAGAAGATGTGTTAAGGCTGGAGTTTTTTCTTTTCTCTCATGCACCTTCTAATTCAAAGTGAAATTCAGCAATCTTTTTGACTTGCCACAATTGGCTCCTGCCTACGTATCTAATAACGTAGTTAGACAAGAAAACATTCTTCTGAAAATGGCTTGTATTTCCCAAAGTACAAAAGACTCCAGTCCCACTTCTGAAGTCTGTAGGAGCAGCAGCAGCAATCCCAGTACCTGGGGACACAGGCAGCATTTGCCTAAGCCAGGAAAGCCAGCAACAAATGTCACTTACGTCACAGTGCAGTGCCTCTCTCCTTCTGGGCAAAGCAGCAGCCCTCAGAGACCAGTAAAAAATTACTTGCATTGCGTGCAAGCAGTGACAGCCTGTGCAGACAGCAATAGCTACAGATAAAACCCCCCTCCTGCTGCTGCGTTCCCAGCAAAGAATTCTGCATGAGAGCTGGCTTCTCTCTTCTCAGAGAATTGATAATTTGCTAAAAATAGTCTTTCAGCTATTCCTAAAATACGGATAAAATATTAGCATATCGGCAGAACTGCCTCTTAAACCTGCAGCCCAGTGCTTTTGCTGCTGCACGTGCCCAGCACGAGACTCATTAAAGGCAGAAGGGGCTGCCAAGCAAAACCAGAAGCCAGCCGAAGGCACCATTTTCCTCCCCCAGCTTGCGTCTCGTGCAGCCCAGGGGCATTACCCTTTCCCAACCAGGAGCGATGCTAACGCCAGGCAGCTTCTCCTTCACCCGTGCTGCCGTGACAGCCGCCGTGCTAACGGGCCCTGCCGCAGCGACTTCGACCTCAGGCCTTGCACTGCAGCATCCGCTTCCCGATGCAGATGGCATACGTCATAGCAGCTTGTCAATAAAGAGCAGCAATGGGTTAAAACTCTGCTGTGAGGTGGTGTTGGAGCCAAACTTGTAGTTCCTAGCTTTCTGTTAAAAATGGAGAACAAACGCATGTGCCAATGTGCTAAGGAAGTAAATGCAGCTGAAAAAAAGGTCCCACTCATAAGAGACGTGGTGGGAGATTATAGAGCAACGGGCCAAGGACTGTGCTTAGATCTAAATGCCGTGCAAATGAGTGGCTGGGTGGAGGCTGTTTCTAAAATGCTTTGGAATTACTGGACTTACTTTTAAGACTTTGTAGCTTGTAGAAGTTTTGGGTTTGCTAATCTGTCCACTGAGCAGGGTTTTCTTAGGCAAAGTCAATTTTTCCTCTGTTCCACTGAGGTCTGAAATGCATTTTGCAGAAGCAAAAATTATCACTATCTACTACCCTGGTGGGTTTCTGGTTGGGTCATCGAAGAGATGTGGAGAAATTTGTTTCATGTAAAATAATTAGTTTCAGTTGCAATGTTTGTGTCTTTTTATTGCATGTGGCAAAATGAACGAACGCAAACAGGAGTGCTGATAGAACAACAGGTGGTTGACTGCAGGTAGTTTGGGCCTGAATGGAGTAGTTGAAGTCATACCCTAAAATGGCACGGAAAACTGCAGTTCTTGGCTTGCACTAGGCACTGGTGGGCACAGAAATCTCTGTCTCTTCTGTTGTGTTTTATTTCTCCTAGAACT